GGAGGAGAGCTTGAAGCTGCCTGTGTCGTATTATTCACCTGCCAGTGCCACCAGAAGTCTGCCTGCTGACTAGACTGCAGAGAAGCTGCTTGACTTCTTTCCCTGTTTGCCTACGTGTTTGATGGAGTGAACACTTACATGCTTCTCAGGTGTGGTGTCAGTTGTATGACATCTCTATATTATCCTGAAGTTCTGAAGAACAGGCATGCATATTTATAAGGGATTTAATGTTGTATGCTTCAGGGCATAAACTAACCTTTAATTAATAAGGCTTGAAAACAGCTTCCCGTGGGGTAGTGAGTTTCTCAAAGAAGCTTTCTTGTGTTTTCCTTTGCAGCTTTTGCTGTTGGCTACTATCATACTGGTAGTGGAGTGAATGAATATGTGATCTGAGCCAGTAAGTCTTATGTTCCTAGAAGACGGCACTGTGTGCCAATGAGTACTCATCAATTCTCTTTGTAAGCTGAACACCCAGCAGATCCAGGCCCAATAAAAGAGTATGAATTAGAAGTGTAATGCAGGAAATAAATACTTGTCTTTGTATTTGGCGAAAGGGTTACAGCTGATGGCCATATGTGTTTTTGCCAACCCATTGTACAAAAAGCAGAGTGCAGGATTCTAGGTTGACTCTCTACTACCTAGTTTGGCTTTGCCATGCAGCTGTGAAGCTGTGTCCATTTGTTGTTAGAGAGCTGCCCTTTTCCAAATGGTTTCCTCTAAAGCTGCTCTGCTGTGCACACTCTCGTGCACTTGGCTATATTGCTATCTGGCAGTGGTCAGTGGTTCTTGGTAACATAACTGCATGATGTGTACCCATGCGTTTCTTGAAATCAGGAAGAATCACGAGGCAAGTACAAGCCATGATGTTCTCTTTAATACCTCCCATATCCACGATCACTCTTCTGTGGTTGATTTTTGTCCAACCTCTGTTGGGGAACCAGTTTCCTGGCCCTTCACTTAGTATCTGTAATGCTGACATCAGCACTGCCAGATTTAGGCTACCCTCAGAGGCGCAAGTGCAAGCACTTGGTTCATTGCTATTGCAATCTAGTTAAGATTTATTGTGCCCTCCGGTATTTTTTATCAGCCATTGCTAAAATGATTTTATCTAACTTCACAATAGATGCTAGCAAAGGTGATGTGCATACACCAGAAGTGCTGTAAATGGCATCCTACTAACAGTAATTTAGGGAAAGCCTTCTCCAATGTTTACTGCTACTGACATATAAAGAGCTATTTAAGTGTTTTTATTGAGACTTTTCTGTTATGAAATTCAACTGTGCTTCTCTTGGTTTTGGTTTGTTTGATTTTTTTTTTTTTGTATTTCTCTTGTTCTTTATGGCTCAACAATCATCTAGCATCTCCACATTACCTCTTTGTTTCTAAGCCCACTTGAATTCTTCCTCCCTTTTCAGATTTATATCAGCTCTAACTTGTTTTAGACAAAGCAAGTCCTCGGATTTCTTGGTTGTAAGAGAGGATTGATACAAACTTGGGAAGGGAGGTGAAAGAATCTCGCAGCTGCCTGGAAGCATTGTTCTTAAAGCTCCAGAAAAAAGCTGTGCCAAGTAGCTTCCTCTGCAAAGGCTCTTCTAGCTACTGACAGCAGAGTCTCAGGTTCCCTAGGTAACCTGAATATTAATTATTGTATTAGTATTCTTCAAAGGTTTTCCACTTAAAAGAAATGTTTCATTAGTGCAACAAATTACAGAGCCCAATTGGGTGCAAGCTGTAATTGTTTTTTACACCTCCACATCTCTTTGCTTTTACAGACTTTTAAGCTCGATTGTTCTCATTTGGGCTGTACACCCATGGTGGCAAATAATCTGCAGGTTTTCCAACTATTTAAAACTCCTGTTTTTGCTGCAAGGTAACAAATAGCTAAAACAACCCTCAAAATGACTAGGGGTGGGGAGGATATGGAGAAATGCTGAGCAGAGGCTGTGTTTCATAGAAGCTTCTGGGCATTGTATTTCTGGCCTATCTCACTGAGATTGGAGCCTGGAAAAGCAATGCAACAGTTCTTCAGAAGTGGTATCACACTGAAATATCCCTGTGTGAGAGGTAGATACTGGGCCCTTTCCCCATGGAAATGCCATTCCTGATAAATCTTACTTGCATCTAATAATGAAGAGAGAAGAAAATTCCTAGGTGTAAAATACAGTTTTAAAACCCCTGATGTTATGTTACACAGCAGTTTAGCTGGCACAGTGCTCCACCCCACCAAAAATATTTTTAACTTTTTTTAAAAGAAAACATTACTGGTTTTAAAAAAAAGATCGCTGGGTCTTGAAAAGAATAGTTAAAAGATCAACCCATTTTCCTAGTCCTGTAATTTCCATTCCTACCACTCAACCTCTGTTACCTTTTTCCCACTTTAATATCTCTTCTGAAAAGTGTGTGTTAAACATTCCTGCAGATTATAAAATCTCACTCCTTGAAGAGATTAATTTGTAGTGTGCTACACTGTAACATATATAACAGTATTGCTTAACTCATCTGCGTACTGCAATGAACCACAGTTGAAACACAAATAAAATACCTTGCAAGGTCAATTTGTGCTTACATAAGCTCACACCACCACATAATCAATAACTTTCCTAACACTAAACAGATCAATAATTCCACTGTACTCTCCGAAGTCTTCAATTCCAGTGTACAAGAAAATATGCAGAACTCTGAGATGACAGTGTGATTTAAGAATACATTTGCTGCATGCGTTTAATAGATCATATGTAAAATCAGAAGCATTTATT